TTTTTTTTTTTTTTTGGTTTATTTTCCCGTTTTTTTCAGCGCAATCGGTGACAACTCGTATTAAATTACAATTATATCTTTGCGGCAATAAGAGCAACCGTAGTCGTAAAGTAAAAACCAGACTGAAGCATATTTTTACGTCAAGAGTTTACAGTACCTAGAATAAAGCAGAGATTCTTTTATACGGATACATTATCGGGCACAATTGGAAAGCGAATTGCTCGAGACGCTAAAACTTTTATTTTTTAGGACGGTTCAGTTAAGGAGTTAAATAATGCTTGAAAGCGAGCATCATGTTTGTGAAGAAAGCCTAGAGTTTTGGAATGTTTACTTGAACGCGCATTTGTTATCAATACTGTATAATAGTTTGCTTTCAAGAAACCGGTACAGTACTTATAATTCAATGAAATATGAAGACTTTTAGACTAGTGAACAAAACTTTTTTCAATTACGGTAGTACAGCTGGACAGTCCATTCTCGGAGCATTCAGTTGATTATGAGCCTAGTTCAAAATCGACATCATAAATGGACAAAAGGTATCTTGGAACTACAGCGAGGTACTATACAAAACGACGGACTAGCACAAAAAGTCAACAAATGAATTATAAAAACACTTGGTTCTCCTAACTGGATTAGTTGAATAGTGCAGCAATAAAATTTTCTCTTATTTCCGGCACAGAATGATTTGTTCTGGCTGTCACTGGTGTCTATAGAAATGGATTAGAGTTTCCTTTAACGTATGAAGGGTTTTGAAGGAGGTTAAGAGTCCGCTTACACGTGTCGACTGTCAAAATATTTTCTTTGATCGGTAATGATCAAAAGTATTTTCTCTGAATTGACTTCTTTCTTTTTTTTTTTTCAAACGCCTTTTCAATTCAGTGTTCTGGAACAGATTACCAACTTCAACATACCTTAAGCTAAGAAATCCTTAATATATACTCTACAAAATGCTTAAATTTTAACCGTGATAAAAAATCACAAATGTTAATTAATGAAAAAAGATCACGCCCTTCTTATGTACCATAAGTTTCAAGTACTTTAAAATTAAAGTATTTTCGCTAGAATTCTTAATTCCGACACTTTGGCAATGTTGAACCGACCACTCGTTTTCATTTAAATTTAACTGTTGTGGACCGTTCTCCATAACTTGTTATCGCTTACTTTTGATGAACCGCTTGTTGCTATGTCTGCTGAATTTTTGTTAGTAGTGACATAATTTAGGTTAAAGTTCTTACAATATCTTATTTCCTCAACTTGGTTATTAATAAAAGTTGGTAATGATTTATTTAACCTACCTTAAATAAATGCACATTTAGAATCACTCCATATACTAGTATTACTAATAGGTAACCTCAAACGCTAAATTGTAAATCTGAATGCTCACACACCGGATGAGTCATTAACTTTAAAAGTGGGATAGTCATTCCTTTAACAGGGCAAAATCTGTTTTTACTGAAGATGAGATAAGAGTCGGCATTAGCGTTATTGTCTTCAAATCGTAAACAAATTATTGATGTATAAACTACTACCGATGCATCTACAGAAGCATAAAGTTCTCAGTTCCCTGGAGTTTCTCTATTCATTATCGGTTGAGGAATCTTTGTAGTTGATAATTCATTCTAATCTTGTGCCAATTCCTTCCAATTTGAAATCGTTTAATTCGGAAGACTTTGCTCCCAGCTATAATGTCGAGCTTTTTTTTTTTGCAAATTTGCTTTTTATAGCGAAAGTTTTGACGGAGTCGGCTGCTATGCAGCTGAAGAAGCCGCTTTTTTCAGTAACCAGTAAACTTTCATTACCCTTTTTAAATTATGAAGAACAATTACTGATCTGAAGAAGTCAAAAATCACAGGTTCTCAAGCTTTAACTGTATGTTCTCAGTACCTACCGATACCGACAAAAAAACCACCCACTGCAAAACTGTGACTATTTACTTACTATCTCACCTTGAACTGGCAGCTGAAACACCACTGCGACCATTTAGGCGAGAAGGACAAAATGACAAAAGAATTTTACACATCATTTTTCTGTAGATCTTCCACTGCCTTATCCTCGTAATACTCAAAAAATTCCTCTCGTATAGCATTTTTTGCTGTGTTTTACATAGTGACATAGCAACTCAGAATATTATATTTTATTCTAATAACAGTTTATAAGCCTTACAATAAAAATAAAAATGAAAAGTTTATAATGAAAAAAAAAAAAACACGACGAAAAATTAACGCTATGTCTAAATTAAACGTTATATACAAATGGAGTAATGACTAGCAATGCAATGCAAAAAATCAAAAATTAACGATATTTACAAATACTTTTCCTATACCGTTGCCGATGTCTACCTTTCACCCTCACTGGAGGAAGCCTCGCATCCGTTACGATCACCCAGCAGGCATCCCACTTCTACGAATGCCGCAGGTTCCGAAAATTGGACGTCGCGCATGTACATAAAGTTTTCCACAAGTTTGCACTGCTCGACCCAATTGTGCGGAAAGTGCAGAGGAAATTCATTTATTTTCTGAAATGCAGTACTTGTAGTGGTTCATTTTCTTATTGGTTTTTGCACAAGAACATGTGGTATGTACTGTAAACTACTCGAAGCGTCAGGTCGCGCAGCTCCTGAACCTTGATGTTCGGATACGCTTCTTTCGCGACCTCCTGCTTCAGCCATCCCCAGAAGAGTTCGATGGCGGAGAGCTGGCAGTGGGAGGGGGGTAATCTCAGAATCTCAAACCCGCTGTCCTCCGCAATTTTGTCGATGATGTACGTTTGGGATTTGATCGAGCCGCTTTGAGTGGTACGGGGCGTTGTCGAGCACCAGGACGACGCCATTACTGCTGCAACTCGTCTTCAGCGTCGCAGCAAGTCGGGTGAACCAGGTTTTATAAACCTCGAAGCTCATGTCCCGGTTGTCGTTAAAAGGCGAGTTTAGAAAAGAGATAATGAGGAA